AAAGGAATCAAAGAAAGGCACTAGAGAATAAGGGACAGATAAGATGATTATGTGGAATTAGGTAATTATGTAAAGTTACTATAGAAGGGTGTAAGATACTGAGAAGAGACTATAGGCCTAGTAGAGATATCAAAAGAAAAGCAATTAGATACAAGAATTAAAAGTAGATTTCTGAAATGTATTCAGTTTACAGAGAACCTCGGACACAAAATTCAAGAACTATGGATCTAAATCCCATACCTCTGAATTAACAGTTAATTTGATTTCCAGCTTGTTCATGGGTCAAAGAGTCACAGCACTTCTTCCTTTAGAATGTAAATGTCAGAGATTAACCCCTTTTCATCAGGATTTCAGGAGGAACAAATAAACAGCAATGCATTGGGATACAATGAAATCAACTGATAAATGACACTGTTGCTTTCTGACTCATGCTAGTCTACCTAGAGAAACAGAAATGAGTGTCACCTTAAAAATAAAAGGGAGAAGAGGTGTACCCGCCAAAAATAGCATTCATGGGACACCTGTATGCGACGTGCCTGGTGTCTGTGCTCTATCTGCATTGCCTCTTTAAACTGTTAGCCACGTGAGGATTTTCTGGAAGTCACAAGGCAGTAAATATAAGAACAGAAGCTAGCTTGCAGCGTTAGTTCATCCATTTGTTTATGATGCCACGTGCAAGTGATTACAGTGAGAAAGCACTTCTCAGATTTCACATCCAGCAAGCTGAACACTCAATGGTATCTCTGAAACCCAAGTACCGACAGTGCTGGGCTTAACGCTGGAAACGTTTCTAACATATCCTCAGTTTTGAGGCAGCAAGGTGCCCTGTAGTGAGCGCCCATGCACCTCAGTTCAAATCCCTCCTGAGCCCGGGGGAAGACTCACACCTCTGAACTACAGATTCCTCACCAGTAACGTGGATTAATTGGAGCAGAATCCTCCTTGGACTGTAGTGAGGATAACATGAGAATGTATGAACAGCTTTCAGCTTCTAGAAAGTGTTCCCCTCCTGCTGCTTCCCTCACCCCTCCTCCACCTTTAACTTAAGTGAGTTTTACGATGGTTTCTGCTGTTGCTTTTTTCCTGGTCATCTGTTATCAGAGGCTGGAAATCACCTTTTCTACTAGCTATACTCTTCTCCATGTGGGTTAAGAACTAAGCTCCTTCCTAAAGAAGCCTCAGTTTTTTGAGTTTGTTTTACTGTTGTTCCTTGTTACAATGTTTTTAATAAGGAAACATTTTTATACTCTGAAAAATCTGTATTGTGATAGGCATGGTGTTTAATGCACCAATTATTAGTGAGAATAAAAGACAAATGAAGAGCCTGTTCCAAAAGTGAACTTCAGAGCCTCCCTCCAGGAAAGTCAGACGGACTGTGTAGGTCTGGGGCAGGGCCAAGAAGTTGTAGTTCTAACAAGCACCCCTGTGGATGCTGAGTACAGGTGGTTCTCACCACACAGTAAGACATGTTGATGTAATCAACTCAAAAATACTGACCTGCTGGAATATCACTTCCTAAAGGCTATAGCCTCTGTTAAAAAATAACATAAAATGGGCGCCTGGGTGGCTCAGTTGGTTAAGCGACTGCCTTCGGCTCAGGTCATGATCCTGGAGTCCCGGGATCGAGTCCCGCATCGGACTCCCTGCTCGGCGGGGAGTCTGCTTCTCCCTCTGACCCTCCTCCCTCTCATGCTCTCTGTCTCTCATTCTCTCTGTCTCAAATAAATAAATAAAATCTTTAAAAAAAAAAAAAAAAGAGTCTCTTAAAAAAAATTAAAAAAAAAAATAATAACATAAAATATCAGCACTAAATCTAAAAGATGTAAGTATTCAGAATAACCCTAAAAACCCACCATGTCATATATTCTAAGTCAAAAAATACTACTTTAGCATGTATGTATACCTTAACAGAGTAAAACATTAATAGCCACTACATAAACATTTATAAATATAACCATTTCCTCTTTTATTTCCACATTTCCTTGGTGCTACACTTGCATTTTGTCCCTCTACCTCTCTAGCCATTCAGGTACAGCTGAGAAATCTGAGTAAGGCACAGGTTGGAAAGGCCACAGGAATCAATTCCTTGCTAAAGCACACTGGAGAAAAATCAAGGTGTAGGAATCTTCCAGAGGAGAGGACTCTGGGCAGAGGTCCCGGGAATGTTGCCAATGAACCCATGGAAATGCTTTTCCTTCTCTCCTTAGTACCTTCCTGGATGGTAAGAAAAATGCAGAAAGACACTAAGTCAATACAGGAGACAGATAAGGAAAAATGCTTCCCAACTGTAACCTAGTCTTTGAGATCAAAGATAATGACCTATATAAAAAACAGAGAAGTGTTTCGTACAACTTCTGTGTTATTTTAGGTGACAGACAGGAGACACAGAAGACGCTCAAGCTCAGAAAACAAAGTTTCTTAAACTCCCAGGTCCTAGAAACAGGATGCACACATGGCATACCTAACAGGGCCATGTGGGAAAGAGCCAGCACCCATGGGGCTACTTGTTAGAGTAGCAGAAGTGATGGGAGAGCCTAGGTGGTGGCTCTTACTGGAGTTTCCAAGGGAAAGGCAAAGCAGGGCAGGGTCAACAGTTTATTGGCTAGTTTGAATAATTTCAGGGGGTTCTAAGCTATAGGAGTGGCCCTCCTCGCCTGGTGCCTGGACCTCAGATGATTAAAGCAGAGGAATATTGCCTCCTGGGGATTAAGGGCCTGGTGGAGGAGGTCTGGTTCTGGGTTGGTTAATTTGCATGTCAATGGCACCCTCCAGGCTGTGCGCTTTGATCTCTAAGAATTAGTAGCTCTGGAAGGGACAGTCTCTCCCCAGACAGAAAGGTTTTTAAGGTGTCCCAACACCACAATATACAGAAAATTTAAAATACAAGCAATACAACAGAACTGGCTACTCACTTCCTGCTTACCAAGAGGAAATTTAGCAGCCTCTTTCTGAACCCCTACTGAAACCCCTCTGTGTCATCCCCAGGGAACCAGAGAGAGCAACTTAGGAGAAATCTACTTCCCAAACCCACTCAGTATATTCCATGTGACACCTTCTATAAGCTCTCAGCTTATAATTGGGACTTGCAAAGCTTTCAAGGGTATAATCAAGGGGAAAGATGGAAGTATTTGCAAGGTGGAAATGAGACGGAGGCACCACGTTGAGTTTTAATTGCCTAAAAAGCAACTCTCTAAAACTTCTGGGAAAACTTCTGAGGAAGAAAACAGGAAACGATTCAGCTTCAGAAATCATCTCTGAACTGGTTTTCAAATAAGGGACAGCTGCAATGTGAGGCACACCTTCTTCCAAATAACCATACAAAGAGACAATAGTCTCTAGAAACAGATGACAAGCATCAAACAACTAACTCTGCTTTTAAACATACCCGTCTTCTCCACCTCTTTCATGGATGCCAACAATATGAATTCCCTTAGATTCCATACTGAGAACAGAGACGCATACAGGTACTTAAAGCATCCTGAGTTAGGATTTGTTTAAAACCAAGAATAACCAATTTTGGTGTGAGGCAGACATTTTGCAATTCCCCTATGCTACCTTAGTTCAACCTATGTCCTCATGCACCCCTTCCCTATTACCCTCCCACATCCCCAAACATGGTGAAGAACTGGGGTATTCTCTTTTCTTTACAAATTATGCTTACTTCTCATCATTTAGAGTCTAACCTTACAAAATAATCAAGTCTGGTGAACGTGCAGGACAAGCTAATTAACAAGTAACAGCTAACACTTGCTAAGCATTTATTATTTGCCATCCTGCCAAGCATTTTATGTGCATTATCTCCTTGAATCCTTAGAATTCTAGGAACTAGGTACTATGACTATCTCCATTTTCCAGATAAGGAAATCGAGGCCCTGAGAGATTAAGTAGTTATAGCTGAAAGTCACATGGCTACGAAGCAGCAAAGTCCAAATTTAGACCCTGGCTGCCTAACTTGAGAGTCCAAGGTATAATGACTAAGTGCTGAAGAGATGAGGTAGTTTCCATGAATTCCTGATTAAAGCAGGGCATGCTCCCCCTACGGGAGCTCAAGCAGCCTCCAGTAGTCACAGTGCAGGGAAACATCAGGGCACAAGAAGGCATTCCAAACCTGCCAACACCCCAGAAGGCACTCAGTCTCTCCATCTTCTAGAATCAGGAAAAAGTAGCCCTAAGTCAATGTCCCAGAAAGGCAGAAGTATTGACTTCACAAAGCGGTGTGTGTGCATGTGTGTGTGTGTGTGTGTTGGAATAAAGGGAGAAATGGCATTATAGGAGAATCATCCTGAGATTTAAGGATCTTTAATGCTGGCACTGCTGATCTTGAACAGACAGCACAAATACACTTAACATGTGGCTTTCACTCAAGGAATTAACCTGTTGCCAAGTACAGTGTTTCAAAGAATTGGAATGTTGTCAAACTAGCTTAACACCATGAAATGGTACAACTTAATGAGACTCCATAAATATTGAGGACTACAACACGCAGCTCCCTCTGCAAAAAGTGATTTTACAAGTGGTTTGCTGTCTTTCCTGGTGCATTACACACAGTGGTAGGTGAAATGCTACAACTAAAAGCTATCTTTTTTTAAATGAGTACAACTTGTTCCAACCTTCACTTTACCACATTCCTTTTGGACCACTTTTTAAATTTAAAAAATTAAATATTTTTAAAGTAAAAAATCTCAAATAGTTCATATAATCATGCTAAGCAGTTTTCTTTAAACATCTACTCAACCTCCTAAGATAACACACATTACTTCTCAGAAAGCCCTAATGTTAAAGCAAACCAAACCAGAGGCTCATCACTGAACCTACAAGAGGGGAGAAGCTATGCTGATCCTTGCAGACCAGCAACTGGCCTGAGGTCTATTCCAAACTGAGTATCTGGAAAAGGAGGGGTAGGGTGAGATCGAGGACAGAAAAGCCCCGACTGAATGGAAAAGGTAAAAAATCCAAATTTAGTAATATCTGTTCCTGAGCAAAGTGTGACAGCTACTCACCTGTCTACTGCTTCTACGTCAAAGCAAAACCTCTTCTCGATAGAGTCTGTTTTCCGCCGGGTGCAGGATTTCAGGGTGACGGATTCATCTTCTCCCTGTTGGGAGCACACACACTATCAAGATGAGGCCTGAACATGGGCTATGCTATGTGCCTCTCCAGCAAACCACAAACGTGCCACATCAACAGGAGTGATTATTCCATCTTCTCAAGCCTGAGTGTTCATGACCCACAGGAAGGTGGAATGTTGATCAAAAACCTTCCCTCAGCCACAAGCCTCACGAAGCTAAAACCTATAAACCAAGTTATACTTCAAGCCAAACATCTCTAGTTTTAATTTAGTTCTAGCACATCATGATGGTACAGCATCAACCCATGCTACATAAACTCTTGTTGATAATGTTTGAAACAGGTTTAATTTGCTGGGTTTGTTTTTAATTAATTTATTTGAGAGAGAGCATGCACACGAAAGCAGACTAGCAGAGGGGGAGCCAGAGGGGGAGGGAGAGGGACAAGCAGACTCCTCACTGAGCACAGCGCCCAATGGGGGGCTCGATCTCATGACCCTGAGATCATGACCTGAGCCCAAACCAAGAGTTGGACACAACTGACTGAGCCACCCAGGTGCCCCTAATTTGCAGGGTTGATAAGGGTTAAACCAGATGACCTGCAGTCTCCTCCCAACTCTGAGTTTCTACGTTTCACTGCCTTCACTTTTTCAGGAAGGCCTTCCTGGACCAGGTCAACTATCCCCAAGACATGTTTACATAGCACCATCGTAGCTGGAATTGTCCATTGATGAGGGTGATGATTTCAATCATGTCTCCCTCCTCATTATACTCCAAGCTCCCTGAGGGCAGGGACTGTGTCTGTTCTTGCTGATTCCTGTGTTCCCAGAGCCCAAATAGGCCCCAGAACAGAGGATATGCTCAATAAATAGGTTTTTAACAGCTTTATGACAGTGTAGCTAATGTATAATAAACTGTACATGTCAATTTATGAGTTTTAACTTCTGTATCTCTCCATAAAATCAACACCACAATCAAGCTAATGAACATTTCCATCACCCTCAGAAGTTTCCTTGTCCTTTGAATTCCATTCCTTCACCCAGTTCAGCCTCAGGCAAATACTGAATCTGCTTTCTTATCATACAGATTAATTTGCATGTTCTATAATTTCATATAAATGGAATCACACAGTATGTGCCCTTTTATTTCTGACTTCTTTGACTTGGCACAATTCTTTTGCAATTCACCTATGTTGTGCAAATCAAGAGTTTGTTTCTTTTTACTGCTGAGTAGTATCCCATTGTACAAAGGTAATCCAACAGTCTCATCACATAGTGCTCTTTTATTGCCTAAAAACATAGGGGTTTCTCTTCCTGATTTCTTCTCTTTTTCCCATGTAAGAATTTAGGGTTCATGTTTCTCCTGCCTTTGCCAATCTTTTTCTCTAAACAAGGGGGAAAACTAGCAAACATGCCTAATTTGTTGAAATAGGAAATGTGACTGCTTATGGTAAAACTTAACCACCCCCTAGTATCACAATACCACACAAAATACAGAAGACCTAGCAAGAGATGGTTTATATTCACAAGCCTTACATCTACTGTGTTTTTTAGGGGGTGGAGAATAGCAGGTGGAAAGGTCCTGTGGTCAGGGGCCACGGAGCCTGGGAGGAATTGAAAGCCAGCCAATATGGCTCAATCCCAGAGCAAAAGGCAGACTGGCATGAAAGAGTCTGAGGGAATCAAGAGCCAGATCATGTACATTGTGGTCCATAACCTGAGAGCACAGGAAACATAATGAAGGGTTTCAAGCAAGGGAAGGGACAAGGTCACCTTTGGACTGCTCCAGACCTCACACAGAGAGAGCTGCCTCAACTCAGAGGTTAGGATATAGGGGAATTCTCTTTCACCACACACAGGGTCTAGTCTCCAAGATGATGGAACAAATCTGCTCACATATCCTTGCCGGAAGCTAAGAGAAAAGCAGGTAGTTTTACAGGAAAATAATCAAATGAAATGGACAGCAAAGTGAAGGAAGGAAAGGGAAGTGAAAAAGCATGTTAGAGAGAAAAAAAACCCACCCTATTACCTGTGTTAAGTCTACCTCCACCTCCTAGGAGAGCTCTCTACAAACACATATATCATATAGAAAGATGTCACATGATTCTCCTGTACAAACTGAGATGACATCACCTCCAGAAAGCTGAGCAAATAGTGATGTCAGGGAGAGCCACTATTTTATATATTTTTCTATTCTTGTTAATATTACTAGCAGCAGCAACCTCCGATTCAGGAGATGCAGACTCCAGAATCAGGCTGTGAGTACTGGCTCTGTAACTCATCAGTTTTATGGGCTTTATAAATCATTTGCTCTCTCTAGACCTCGATTTCCTCCTTTATGAAGGAGAAAACTGGATCAAACAGGATAATGTAGACAATACATGGACTTAGAAAAATATAAAATAAATTTAAGGAATTATTAGGAAAATTAATTATTGTACTATCAAGCTCCTAATGCAGAACTCATTGTGTGTGAAGCTCTCTTCCAAGAGTATATATACTAATTCATATAAACTTCTTAACAACCCAGTGATGTGTTTACTATTAACTCACTGAAGACGTGGGAGTCCCAAACATCCACCATAATTGGTCTCTGTCATTCACTTTCCAGTGGGATAAGACCAAACACAAAAGTTCTTCTTTTAAGGCTTAGGAAAGCACAAGGTCAAAAGCCCCAAAATAAAGACTGTGTGAGAGAATAATTTAGTGATGCTCATTTCTAGAAAGACAGGATTGGAAAAGGACTATGGCTCAACCCAAGGGAGCAAGTCTAACTATTGCCTTTGTATAAAAACTAGGGAACACCTAGTGATTAATGTTTAATATCTCTTCCGACTCCATAAATTTCTTTATGTTTCTATATTTAAACAATGTTGTTTTCCTGGCATTACTCCACTCCTGAAACATTAAAAGAGCTTTGGTGTATTCTTTTGGAATACATGGAAGGAAAAGAGATGCTGATAAATTCCTGTATTGTGGACTAAGTAAAAGAAAGCCAGGAAGAAAAACTGGAAGTGGTACAGAGCAAAGGGGCAGCCTGATAGAGTAGCCAACAGTAATGACAGATGCATCTAACATTACTGAGCCGGGCAGTCTAATTTCAAAGCTGATGCTCTTAGCCTCTGTAATGCCCCCCTACACACACACACACACACACACACACACACACACACACACACACACGACTAATTTCAAAGCTGATGCTCTTAGCCTCTGTAATGCCCCCCTACACACACACACACACACACACACACACACACACA